ATTAGACTTGCCATACCCTGACATAAAATTAACATAGACACGCATATTAAGAAAACTGCATTCCGTCATGGGGTTAATAGTGACATAACGCATTATTGGGTCAGTTTATGAGAGGGAAGTGTAACACAAAAGAAGAAACTTCAATGGCTTCATTGCTTATTCCGATTGCTCAGATTTGACTGCATAAGGGAAATGAGACGAACACTTTACCGGTGAAAAACAGCAGGCGTCGGGTTACCGTCATTGATTGTAGCTGCACAGATTGGGCGGCACCCATCGGGGGACGTCCGACGACCGTACCGGCCACTTTAGCCCGCTCTCATCGGGCACGTCCGAATCAACAACCTCGGTGATCTCACCACTTTCTAAGTTCTGAACTCCGACATTCCACAGCGACCTATATTCCCCCTGCTCATTCTCTTCTTTGAAGACGAAGTAGATGGCATTCCCCTGGAACCCCAAGTCCTCAGCGCCGACGGACACGGACGAGCTCTGGCTCAAGAACAAGATACGGTTGTCGATATCCTCCACTTCGATGGCCACCGCCGGCCTGTTTATGCCGCCTGCCTCCAGCCTGAAGACACGGAATCCGGGGGTCATCTCCCCGTCTGCAGTCCTATTGTAATCGAACGTAACCAGCAGCAGTTCTCCGTTCGATACAACCAAGTGGGTGGGGCGATAAGTGCGCGGCACGCAGGTCGGCATGCCGTACCATGCGGCAATCGTCGCCCTCCCCGGCGGACCTGGGTCAACCTGGAGGACCGCCAAGCAGTCGTTGCCGCCGTATATCGCGCACAGCATCCGGTTGCCGTAGGGAACGACGTCGCGCATCCGGGACGTAGGTTGCACCCCAGGATTCGCGTTTGTCGTCCATGATTCGTCACCTTGGCGCCACGTACACCATCCAATGTTCACGTCGCGTATGAAGAGGACAACCACAAACTCGCGGTCGAGCGTGGGATCCGAGGATAATACAGCCTTCTCTACGACAATCGCGGCCGCATCGGCGTCCGGCGCCACATGATCAAACGGGAGACCATCAAGGGAGGGGAGCCGAATGTCCTCGGCGGTAACGGGGTTGAAGAGGTTGATCAAATGGCCTTCCATAGAGAGGAGGATGAGCCAGCCGAAGGAGGTGCCAATGCAGGACATATTGGCTGTGTTAGGTAGCGAGCAAACATTTCCGGTGGAGGCGCCGGTGAGGCGGAAGGCCGATCGGAATCTTGGTTCAGACGTGGAGACGAGGAGGAGGAAAGGGAGCTGCGTAGGGAGGTGATCCGGCCGGAGGGGTATGGCAGAGCGCCACGATTTGCAGACGGCGCGGAAACGCTGATAATCGTCGGCGCTCGTCAAGAATTGGGAGGTGAGCATGACGAGCTGCGATCGGAGCCCGGCCCACATCGCTCTTCTTGGGACTTCGTCGGCCATCGTGCGTCTCCCTTTCTCGACGTCACTTCCGCCCCTTTAATTCCATTTTTATTGAATATTCTTGGTTTGTTAATGATAAAAGATCTGATTAATCATGATAGAGATAATCTTATATTTGAATAACTGATTCGATTATCATTTGAGTGATCGATAAGGAAAATATCTTACTCAATACATCTATAAATATTATTTCTTAAGTAAATAAAAATTATCTCTTTCCTCAATTCAATATGGTATCATAGCACATCGAGCAAGCCTTCCCCTTCTCACTATCTGATGATGAACAATCTCCTTTCTCCACTATCGATCATCTCCCTTCGATCCCTTCGCTCAACAATAATTTCTCTGTTGATTGGCTTACTGTCGCTGCAGCAATAATGGCCCATCTCTGCATCGAGAATTTCCCTTGTTACCTTCGTTGATCTGCAGCAACAGTACCCATCCGTCAATCGATTTCCTCATCTATCATCGGTTGTAGCAAAACTTCTGATCGACGATCCTTCTCAAACTGGAACATCTTGCTCGGCAGAAGTAGTCTAATCTAATGATGTCGGTTTCTTTCAAGCTACCTCTTCTACTCAGTGACAGACTCTACTTACAACCGCTATTGATTTAACTGGTGGATTTCAAACCGACGAACCTCAATCTAGGCAGCGAACACCGACAGGTTCTGGAACCGGGTTGGGATCATGAAACATCGGCGCTCCTACCCGACATACATCACCCGCCCCAACCCATCCTCTTCATCGTGACACTGAAGGCACTTTCATGAAGGACCTGATCGTCCTTCTTCATCTATTGCCCTGAGCATTGTTGTTAACAAGCTCACTCTGACCACCATCCCCACATCTTCCTCACCAGCGAATCACTAGAGGCAAGCATTGTCGAGAAGAAATAGGAGGTAAGCGCCCCCTTCCTCCTCACTATGATCGCCCATCACAAGGAAGTCTCAAATTGTTGCCTCTTCTTCCTTTTTTTCTCTCTTGATCTGCCTTGATGTAGCATCCTTCTACTCCCTACGCCAGTGATTTTCTCTAAGATTGCCTACTCCAACAGCCTCCTTCCACTCCCTACACCCACCACCAACCCTCCTTCTTGCTGCTACTCCTCGGTGGCCTCCTCTCGTAAGCTTGTCTTAGTAATAAAAGTCATAGATTACCTATTAGAACATCTTTCATATCCCATTTCAATCCATTTGAAATTATCTGCGCCGATGTCTAGAGCCCTGTCTAAACCACTTCTTTTGATAATTTTAAATTTTATATCATCTTCATATATTCCTTTACTAAATAGAGCCCTATCTCAACCACTTCTTTTAATAATTTTAAATTTTATATCATCTTCATAGATTACTTTACTAAATATATATAGTTATACCCTCTCAAACATAAATATGAAGTCTCCATAATTTTTACTCATTTTAGAAAGTTAGTCGAGAACTTCTTCCGGTCTACCATTAAAACAATCTATTTTGATAGAGGAGATGAATACCAAGCCCTAAAAACCTATCTCTCATCTCAAGTCACCATCACATACTCCTCAACTAGTTACAAAACATCGATATATAGTTGAAACTGGTCTCACCCTTTTACATCAAGCCTTTATGCCACCAATTTTTTGATCAATAGCCTTTTAAATTGTAGTACACCTCATTAATCGCATGCTTACTCTAGTCTTACAACTCTAGTCACCATTTGAAAAACTATTTCATAAAATTTTAAACATTTAAAAGCTTAAAGTATTTGGTTGTTTATGTTATCCCTAGCTATGCCCCTATGCTTCACATAAGTGAACACCAAGATCCATGCATTGCATCTTCATAGGATACTCACTCTCTTGAACATAATGCTTTTCGATGCTATGATCCTCAAACTCAAAAAATCCTCATATCATGTCATATTGTTTTTATCAAGTCTATCTTTTCCTTCCAAAATCATGAGTCTTTAGTAATATGAGCCACTCTAACAATCCTATATCACTGGATTCATATGAATACACCTCATACCCCCTTAAACAAATCTATCACCATGCCAACTAGTACTTCTTACCAAAACATACACTCCCTTACTCTAATTCAACAACTCTTCACTCCTTCTACAACTTCTCCATAATTCAACCTGTAATGCCCAATGAAGCATCACCCTTAGCACCATAAATGATGTCTTTATCCTCTCCTTAACTAAGTAAAACCGAAGTGCATCAACCTAATCAGGTACATGTCAATGACCCTCCACCAATTTCTATACCTATGACACAACCCAATAATATAATCACACTAAGACATCATATGACAACACGCTCCAAAAGTGATATTTTCATACTATTTCAAATCTTTGACTCTCATGCTACCATAAACTCTCCACCTGAACCTATTTAACCTACAACAATCACTTAAGCCCAAAAATCTCCACACTAGTGTAAAGCCATGTGTGAAGAATATGATATTCTACTCTATAATGTCACATGAACCCTTGTACTATTTCATTACACAATATATCATCGGGTGTAAGTGGATCTTTCAAATTAAGTAGAATCCAAATAGATCCATTGTCAAATACAAAGCATGTCTAGTGGCCAAAGGATTTCACCAATGACTAGGTGTTGACTTCACAGAAATATTTAGTTTAGTTGTTAAATCATCAATAATCTGACTTATCTTGAGTTTGGCTATCATAAAAGTTTGGCACATATAATAACTAGATGTTAATAATACATTTTTACAAGGGCCTCTAACTAAATATGTCTTTATGCAATAATCTCCTGGCTTCATCCATCCTCAATATCCAAGTTATGTTTGTAAATTATAAAAAGCTATTTATAGATTTCGTCAAGCTCTAAGAGCTTGGGATACCGAACTTGGCTCATTTTTATCGTCAATTGGCTTCATCAACTCCAAGTCTGACACATCATTATTTCTGTGACAACAAAAAGGAAGTACTATATATTTACTGATATATGTGGATGACACTATCATTATCAGCAATAATCATATAGAGATCAAGGAATTCCTTAAGCAGTTGATAGATCGATTCTCCATCAAGAATCTAGGAAACTTAAGCTACTTTCTAGGAGTAGAAGAAGCATTCACATCTTCTAAACTCTTCATATCTTAAAAAAAGTATATTTAAGATCTATTATTAAAGACAAACATATATAATACCAAAGAAGTTACAACTCCACTTATATGATGACAGTAAGGAGTACTTATCCCTCATATGTTCAGATATCTCATTTACAGTAAATAAATTATCATAATTCATACATCGACCCTCCACTACGCATTGGCCTATAGTATAATGACTCATACGGTATCTAAAAGTGACTCTCAATCATGGACTTCTTCATAAATATTCATCATTTCATCTTCATGCCTTCGTCTATGTTAATTCGGTAGGTAACATAGATAATAAGCCTATATCGTCTTCCTTGGAACAAATTCAATAAATTGGAGTTCTAAGAAACAAAAAACAATTGTGAGGTCCACCACTAAAATTAAAAACCAAGCCATTGCCACCACTATTGCAGAACTCAATTAGGTCACCAACTTGCTACATGAACTTGACATCAACTCCAAATTCACTTATACAATATGTTGTGATAATGTCAGTGTCACCTACCTATGCGTCAATCCAGTATTCCATCACACATGAAATATATTATTATCGATTTTTACTTTGTTAAAGATTAAGTTGTCAATCATCAACTACGTATTTCTCATGTACATATTGCTGATTCAACTAATAGACTCCCTCGCAAAGTCTCTCCTTTGTAAAACATTTCAATTACAAAGTTACTCCCTCACAAACTCAATCTTGCGGGGTATGATAGAAGATCCTTATTGATTAAACATAATAGAGTTCATCTCATATTTGAATAATTTATTTGATTATAATTTGAGTGATTGATCCAAAAAAAAAAAAAACTTTTTTCCTCGAAACCTTAATATCTCTTCGGTGAATAAAAATTATATCTTTCCTTAATAAGTTAGTCACAGGGAGGTGAAATGTGCGAGGCAGTTGTGGTTCAAGAAGCACGCGATGTCACGTCAGAGAGAAAAGAGGGTAGAATTCGGACACCGGCAGTTCCGATGTTGTCCACGTCAGATGTGGGTGCCATCGAACCATTCTGCGTGGGTACGGAAGCTGATGTAAGCCCCTTTGGCTCCTTGTGATTAGCTGAAACAGAGCATATTGGCAGATGCACAAACCGCTGTTATGTTGAGAGAAAAAAGCGTCAGAAGTTGAAAGTTCTAATTTTTTACCTATTTGTTTACACAAAATGCAAGCGATATGAATTAGTCCGAGCCGTTTGATCCTAACTGATCAGACTGATCCTAGCTAGAGTATTTGTTAATTAAGTTAGGGTTATACCAATAACGATGGCATAGATGCGACAAAATTCTAACTCTGTTACCGATTTCATTACTCTCAGAATTTGCCTGTAAAATCATTTTAGAGATGTCTTCTTTCACTAATATTCATGAAATCGATTAATTAATGGATAAAAAGCATACGGTATTAGAGCAACATTTTTGGTATACATGACTGACCAATCTATACTCGAACGTCTCTGCCTCAACACTACTCGAATCAACATCTACGATCACACCATTCTCTAGCTTCAGCACCTGACACCCAACATTGGCACACTTCTTCCCTTTACACTCTCGTGCCCTTGATGACGGAGTAGATGACATCCCACGGAACCTAGCGAAATCTCCGGTAGCAATGGAAACAGAACAATACGAGCCCAAGAACAACACATACTCGATATCCTCCACTTCCACAGTTATCATTGACCTATCTTTGTCATTAGGGTCGAACCTGAATACATGGATGTGAGGAGTGGGATAGATGTTTGTTTTACATGTACCAGTCAATGAAGTAACCATTAGTGGCGTTTGAGTTAATGACGAATTTGAAAAGACGTTATCCATGTTAATATGTCGATGTTATTCTGTGGGTGTGATTTGATTGATTGCTAGATTGGCAT